CTATCTATCTATCTATCTATCTATCTATCTATCTATCTATCTATCTATCTATCTATCTATCTATCTATCTATCTATCTATCATATCTATTGGTATCTATCTTTTTTTTGTTGTTGTTATTTTAACACTGACAAAGCGAGGGGTTTATGCTCCCAAGTAGACAGAAATTTTTTGTGACTAAGATGTCAGAAAGTTGAAGGATTGCACAATGCCTCCATTGTCTTGGTGATTGCTCTCAGCACTGGGCTGGAAATGAGGTTGAAATTAAGTGTGTCTACTAGGCTGTCAAATGTAGTTCACTAGTGATTGGTGATGATGACCCTGCATTTCCCGTAACTACTGCAAAGTAACTTGACTCAGGACTGATGTAAGACTGCATCTTTAACTACTAAAAACAAAAGTTAATTGATGGGCTTTTTGTCCAGTTTGATTTTATTCTAGCCAATATTTTAGTCCCTTTTACATAACTGAAATAAATGTATTTTATCGAGTTTGTTACAGAAATAATAAACTTGTGTAACTCTGCATTACTCCATTCCTTTTGGTGGAATTATAATCCAAGCAAGAATCAATAAATTGTATCCCTACTGGTATTTTATTAAACAAATAATGTTTTTAAACTTTGTTCAAGATAACTTGTTGCAGAGATAAAAAAAATAAAATAAAAAAGATTTTTCTCAAAACGGTTTTCCTCAACAGCATTTTATGACTGACAGGAATTAAAGTGATTGTTTTCAATGGCAGGCTGAGTCCTGAGTAAGACCATACTTTAGCTATTATCGCTAATTTGTGACCAATTTATGAGTCTCACCATAGGCCAGAACGTTAAGCCTGCTTTTTAAGATGCTATTAAACAGGAGGTATCAGCCCCGTTCTTTCAGCTTTATGGCAGGAGTCAGTTCTGTTTCAGTCCAACTATAACAATATAAAAATAGGAAAGCGCAGATTTGAGGCCAAACTTTAGGTAACGGCTGTCACGGTTTCTCATTAAATCAAATTCGATGTTTAAACAGGTGCAACGCGTCAGTGTAAAGTATTTTAAGTAGTTCTTGGCTCTCTGGCCAGCGGAGGCCTGATATTTTGGTACAAGTTTATCAAATCAAAAACTACTGTTGATGTCCAATTGAATCAAAGTGCAGCACATCCAGTGGCTTCCATCATAAATATTCTTGCCTCCTGCCAGTGTTTTCTCTCAGAAGTCAAATACCAGAGCTGAGAGATCAGGAAGAAAGAGATCTGCATGATATATGGGGAATGATGGTGCCATAAATGGAGCCTTAAACATGAAACGGATGCTAAAAACTAATGATGCTAGTAAACTCAATGCTGTGTCTTGTCACAGGCAGAAAGTAAAGACTAAGGATGCACAATGCAATTTTTTCACTTCTGATACCGATACCTGATGTTTTAGTGTCTGTTGATACTGATTCGATATCTATCTGATACAGAAAAATAGTGCTGAATTAACGTATAACTTTTTTTTAATTTTTTTTTTTATGCAGACATACATGTACTGGATTACAAATTTATTGAACACTCTGCACAAGTACATCGCACTTAAACACACCAGTGCTTCACAAGCTTGGTCAAACATGTAAAAACAACAACAGTTTAATTTGGTCAGTCAGTGCAGTTATGAGTATAACATCCAATGTAAAATAAATAATAATAAAGATTGAAATTGACAAAAACAATAGGTTGACAACTTTGGTCAAACATGAAAAAAAAATAATAAAAAACTTCAACAAATCTTTCAAATTATTCAGGAATTCTTAATATATTGTAAAATAAATAATAAAGGAGCTGAAATAAGAGGAAAAAAAAACAATAGCTTCACTAGCTTGGTTGGCAAATATTTAAAATAAATAGCAATCAGCTCCTGTCTTTATGGATCTGTCACATTGTCACCAATACTTGATCAATATTTTTTTCCGATATTGGTACGATACTAATATCGAATCAGTGCATCTACCGATACCCGATCAAGATTGTGTTACCCTTTCTGATATCGGTACCAATATCGATACTAATATCGGATTGGTGCATCTCTAGTAAAGACAATCTAACAACCAAAGATTTGCATTCTATATACTTTACAAGCACAGAAAAGAGTAGCCGTATTTAAGATGTAAAAATAATAATAATAATTGTTGTAGGGGAGGTTGTCGTCTTCTGTTATTTGCTTCTGTTCAACACTTTTCACTCCACGTGTTTAATCTAATTGTTGGCAGACCCAAACAGGGTTCATGGTGTGTTACAAAAACCATAAGATGTAGACATAGCAGTAAAAATTGTAAATTGCAAAAGCCACTTCATAATTAATTTCTGTAACTACATTGACTATGGAAACCATAAAACCTCAGAGTTCAAAGAAACGATAACAATATTTCCATCTTACAATCTTTAAATAGAAAGTATGAGTTTTTTGTTTGTTTGTTTTTAATGATTTTTTTGACTGAAAATTCTGCATTCAAGTCAAACAATTACTTGGAAAATAACAATTTCCTCATTTTTGCAAGAGGTTTAAAAAAAATCCCCTACTTCCTCACAGGCCAGGAAGCATACATTTTTGCCAATGAAATTCAAAACTACTGACACACACAAAAAAAAAAAGTCATTGACAAAAGAGGATGAAACGCTCACTCTTAAGCTTTTACTTCTCCAACAGACTGAGGTCCAGTTAAGTTTTTCTAGCATTCATAATTTTGAAATAATTGATGGATGTGAAAGAAATTATCCTGTGCGGCTCATTGTGAACTTACAGTCGTGTGTGTGTGTGGAGCTTATTCCTCACACACTAATAAAACCTGCCTTTTCACACCGTACAACTCAGAGACATGTCATTTCCCTCATCACCGTAGAGATGAGCACAAGCAAACTCACAAACAGCATCTTCCATCAGACAGGCTGCCTAGATAGTGCAGCTCCATGTGTCATGTCAGATAAACCCAGCTTCTTTCGGTATACGACACTTTTAATGTCTCACCCTGTCATACAGTTTCCCTGTTTGTGTGTGTGTGTGTTGGTACATACCAGCATCTGGCCAGGTGCATATGTCCATTGACTAAAACTGATCCTGAGAGCAGAATGTACCAACATGTAGCGATGCTGTCCGGACTGGAAAAGACAGAAACAAATATTGAAATTTATGCTGCAAAACAACAATAAATCTGGTCTGTTTCAAAGTGCATACAATGGAAGATTAACCTTTTTTAAAACGTGATAGAATTTCTTTATGCCTCTGCTTCCTGGGTCGTTTTAAAGTAAAGCCCAACCAAAATATCAGTAGGGCCGATATTTTAGGCCGATATCGATGTTTGAGGACATATGTGATAATTGGCCCATTATGCGCCAATGTTAACACTTTGTTCACCACTAAATGATGGGAATGAGCCGTGTCCTTATTTGCAAATGGCGTAATTGTACAATGTATCCAGCAGAGGGCGCATGTGGCCTACTTTCAAGTCATGGGAGTTCACTTTAACTTTCACTTTCAACACAGCCGAAGCAGGGAGCAGCTAAACACTGTGTTGAGCTTTTTGCTGAACAGAGCATGGTAAGTTTATTGTAAATGATAGGTAAAAAAAAATCAATTATAAATTTTCTTCAATCATCCAACCTGCTTGTCATTAGCTATGTGCCTCTCACGTTAACAAGCTAACGTTTAGATAACCTAGCATAAGTTATTGCATTGTAAAACTTTATCCAGAAGAATAAAGCAAATGTAGAGGTAAAACATATCAGTAACGTTATCTTTGTTGTCCTCAAGCTTCTTTGAGTATTTAGAAAAGTGCTATACCAATAAAATGTATTATTATTATTATTATTATCAATGAAAGGCATTGTCTGAAATTCAACTTCTCTGCAAAGAAAAGACAATCTTGCTACAGTCAATACTAATTAGGCCTTCAGCATATGCGACTGACTAAACAATAAACAGGGAAGGGTGTTTCTTTGTTTAATTTATTATTTTGTAACACAATTGACAACTTTATGATGAATAGTGGAGGATAGAAAATGTGTGCATGATAGGAAGACTGTTTCAAGACTTGAAGTGATAAAACAGGTTTAAAAGTAGCTGTTTACTTAGATTATTGGGGGTGGACAAAGCTACATTATATCAGTATCAGCAATAGCCCCAATTTCCATATCAATTGGGTTATACTTTTTGTGCTGGTTTCAATATCTGCAAAGCTTAATCTTCAAACATGCATCTAAGCAATTGCCATTTTCAAAAAGTACAATAAAGTGCTTTCAAATAATAACTTAAATCAGCACATTTATGGCTTCAAGTCACACAATCTAAAGGATAAGAAAAAAGTGAAATATCTATTTGAAGTAAAAAGGATTATTACTACTTTTACATTTACTGCCATCTTCTATGTGTCTGTCTCAGAGTACAAAAATTGCAGTTCTTCCTGGAATCTATATATTTTTAGGTGGTTATCTCCTCTATGTTGCGTTAATGGGTTTGTGCTGATTTTATGCAGGGATGAACATTTGAGCTACTTCTTTTGCTAACGCTACTTAAATATTAAGGAGTGTATTTTATATGAAAAAAATGCAAATGAACAAGACATTAACTACATTTAGCAAAGAATTAAATAACTAAATATGTCATTTCTGAAAAACAAATAAAATAAAATAATTAAAGTGCAGCTGCACATTAGATACCAAGCCATGCATTTTTCATTAGCATACATTTACCGGTACTCCTAAAAGCTTTTGCACTTCAGAACCAATCTGTGTATAGAATGCTAAATCTATAACTGCTGTGCACCTACACAGCAGGAGGATGAAATGACCAGTGCTGAAAATGTCACATTATTTTCCATTAACACCTGGAACACAGAACCCCTTTATTTGACCATGAGCTCTCGTTTAAGCATGTGCCATGTGACTGTGAGCTTTTCTGATTTGTTCAATAATCCCAAACATCACTGTAATTAATGTAGTTTTAAACTCAGTGAATGAATAAGCAGCATTCATAAAGACACAGATACATAAAGAGAGGAAAAGAGTTTATTAGTTCATGTCAAGTAAACCAACCTGAGAAAACACAAGCAAGTAAGCCATCAAAGAAAAAGTAAATATCAGAATGACGATTTGGCACTTAAATAGTTTGATTTTAATTTTGAGATAATGCTAAATCATTTAGGAAGGATTTTTAATAAGGTTTCTAAGTCACATAAAACGGTGGCTTTAGCGTTTAATAATTTTGATTTGAAAAAAAAAATGGAAAAAATTTTAGAAAAATAGAAGAGGCTATAATCAGGGATGCACAATATTATCGGCAAGGTATCGGCCAATATTAGCGATAAAGTGAAATATCGGACATTGGCCGTTCCATCAAAATAACTCATCAATATAAAAGGCACTATTTATATATAAATACAAGGCGCTTTTTTTTTTTTGTATGACCACCCACTGACAAGGATGCCTGCAGCACCAGCACAATGTTATGACATCATGCGCGCTGTTGAGTTTAGGTTTGTGAAAGTTTACAAATTTGCACTGTCCGAGTGTTGTCATTGTGTTAGAGAGAGTAAATGTCATGAATAAATTTGACATTAAACATAATCTAAGTTGAAGTGTTACATCATTTTCAACCCCCTTTTTGGAATATGCATTTGGTAGCAGGCCAAACTGACAAAGACCATGTAGATGTAGTATTTTAATTCCACAGCAGAGAAAGCTATGTAGTTTCTGGAAGTATATATAAGGAAAACATATTGGTATTGGTTATCAGACAAATAAGTTTTAACATATCGGATATCGGCCAAAAATCCAATACTGTGCATTCCTAGCTATAATAACATAAATTGGTTACAAAACTATATATACTGCATGTCTACGGTTTATTTAAAAGCAGACAGCAAAAAGTAACATTGAATATACTGAGCTCTCTAGAGTATTCCAATACATTGTTTTTACAGTTGTTTGAATATAATTGGGAAAAAAAGTTATTTGCACATCATACAATACTTGGATTATTAATCTTCTTAACATCTGTGCCATTTTGAATATCTTTGCAGCTAATCTTGACATCTTTTTATAATTTATTTTATCCAAACACATCCTATAAGAAAGTAGAAATCCCAACATAACCATGTTTACTAGAAAACAGAAAATATAAGTTTCTAATTGTTTGCTTAGAATTAGATAAAAGCTTTGACTTTGATTGATTTAATCTGTTTAACTGTGCGTAACTGAAGACTGATTGAACATGGCAGCTTCTTTAGTCCCAGTTAAGGTACTTAAAATAAGCCTCCGGTAGAGATGCAGGAGAATATGTTAGAGACGGGGAGCGTGTGGGTGTTTATTTGTCGATAAATTTAACTGATAAATGTCTAATGTGATTCTAGAGAGCATGATAATGCATCAATAATTTGTGGTGCTTCTGGCTTGTCCTTTCATTCATCTCTGTCCTCCCCTCATCACTGACATTTCCTCCACTTCTCAGCTGTCCTCATCCCTCTTCCACCATCTTTGCAGCTCATTTCTCATATTGCCTCCCTTCTTGACATTGCTATTCTTTCCTCCTCCTCCTTTAACATATTCTAATCTTGTTTTCTCTCCTTTGCTTACAGTTGATACATACCAAAACTCTCTGCAAACTCTTTCTTTTCAATGCAATCTGTGCTCTTGTTGTTTTAGCCTCCTATTTATCCCCCATTTCTCTTCCAGACGAGTTCTCCTCTAATTGTGCACGACTGCTTTGAAAATGACCATTTGATTAATTCATCTCCTGAATTCATTCTCATCCCACAACTCAGATCAGATGTAATGGCAGGCAGGACATTAGGGACAAGTTGTTTTCATCCAATCAATTGTGTATTGCCACTAGGAAAAAAATGTTTTTCCTCAAAAATGCAGCAAATGCTTATTGCTAAATTATTTTGCTGAAAGTTGTTAAAAAAAAAAAAAAAAAGCTAAAGCTTACTTGAAATACAATCAATAGCTTAAAATTGGAAGGAAACAATAAGCACAAAAAAGAGAAAGCAGAAAAACAGAAAAAGCTGCAATTAGCATTAAGAAAATGAAAAGAGCAGAAAATGCTGAAGTTAGGGGGAAAAAGCTAAAAGCATGAAAAAAGGAAGTAGTGAAATGCTAAGAAAACACTTGGAAATGCTAGCTAAGAGCCAAACATATCAAAAAATAGATGAATGCAGGAAGATATTTTACAGCCAGAAGTAGCTAAATGCTGACAAAATGCTAGAAAACCCTAGCTAAAAGCCAAAAGTAGCTGAACGCTAGCGAAAATCCAGAAAAAGTTAGCCAAGAGCAAGAAGTAATGAAATGTTAGCAAAAAGCAGGTAAATGCTAGCTAAGAACCAAACATAGCAAAAAAATTGCTGAGTGTAAGAAAACATTTTACGGCCATAAGTAGCTAAGTAAATGCTGACAAAAGCTAAAAGCTAGCAAAAATTCAGAAAAAGTTAAAGCCAAAAGTAACGAAATGCTAGCAAAAGGTAAGAAAATGGTAGCTAAGAGCTAAACGTAGAAAAAAATTAGCCAAACGTAAGAAAATGTTTTATAACCATAAGTAGCTAAATGCTGACAAAATGCTAGAAAACACTAGCTAAATGTCAGAAGTAGCAAAAATCTAGCAATAATCCGGAAAAACTTAGCTAAGAGCCAGAACAACAAAATACTAGCAAAAGGCAGGAATATGCTAGCTAAGAGCCAAACATAACAAACAATTAGCTGAATGCAGAAAAAAATGTATTACAGCCAGAAGTAGCTAAATACTAACAAAATGCTAGAAAATGCTAGCTAAAAGCCAAAAGTAGCTGAACTCTAGCAAAAATCCAGAAAAAAATTAGCTAAGAACCAGAAGTAACAAATGCTAGCAAAAGGCAGGGAAATGCTAGCTAAGAGCCAAATGTAGTAAAAAATAGCAGAATGCAGAAGAATGTTTTACAGCCAGAAGTAGCTAAATGCTGACAAAATGCTAAAAAACGCTAGCTAAAACCAAAAGTAGCTGAACTCTAGCAAAAATCCAGAAAAAGTTAGCTAAGAGTCAGAAGTAACAAAATGCTAGCAAAAGGCAGGAAAATGCTAGCTAAGAGCCAAACGTAGCAAAAAATTTGCTGAATGTAAGAAAATGTTTTACAGCCATAAGTAGCTAAATGCTGACAAAATGCTATGCTAGCTAAATGCCAGAAGTAGCTAAATGCTAGCAAAAAATCCAGAAAAGGGTAGCCAAGAGCCAGAAGAAACAAAACGCTAGCAAAAGGCAGGAACAACTGTAAAGAGAGGGAAATGTAGCGAAATGTTAGCAAAAACACTAGCAAAAAAATTACAAGTCTCGTTTAAATCACCAAATTATTAAATCAAAGTAAAACTTTGCTGGAAATGTTGTTATAGTGTCAGAATGTTTAGGACATCTTTATGTCTGACAAAGCTGAGAATTTGTATCACCTCATGTTTTAACATGTTAACTGAGGGTAATGCAGAGAACGTTGTGATGCAGGACAGAAGACAAAAGGAGAAAAAAGACAGAAAAACTGAAGATGACAGCAGCAGAGAAGTGTGAGAGCTTGTACTTACTAAAACAGGATGTGGTTAGCCTCACGTCTCTCGTACCTGGCTGAGGTACACATCAACCTGAGACAGAAAAAGATTTTAGGTTTTTTTTTCCATTTCAAAAGCATCAGAACATTTCTTGCTCTCCCAAACCCTTCACAGATTCATTCTTTTTTCCCAGGAGAGACCAGGCTAAGAGAACACCTTTACAGCCCGTCAGCTTGGCCATAGTAAGACGAATCACTGCCCTTTGTTTTAAATAAAGCCTTGAATCTACAACTCTTTTAGAAAAGTCCTGATTTGTAACTACTGCGTTTTGTCTTTATTTATGTTACTCATTTTACTCAAACAGAGCCACATATTGTAAATGCTGATGAAATAGATCTCTAGGTACTGCATCTTCATATCTGGCTACAAATCAGTAAATGTTCATTTTAGCATGAAAAACTGTCACCAGCTGAGTGTCTTCATCAATTTGTGTACTGGTACCTCTAAAACCCTCCTTTGTGGTAATCAACTATTGTAATAGGAATTAAGAGACCACTTGTGAGTGAAACTGAGAAAAGCATAACTGGCGTCCACCAAAACATTTCAAATATGTCTACTATGAAGATGAGAAAGATCTTGTTCAAATGTATACATGGGGGTAAAAAAAAAAAACATTTTGTACAGGGTGTATTACAACAATGCTATAAGAAACAAACAGCTTCAAAAACACTCCATAGAAGACAACAAAGTCCATGCTCAATAATCCAGATATACAATCCAACATTTTTCAGTCAGGTCATCTAGACAGTTTCTTTTTTTGTGCTGAAATGTTTCGCCTTCGATCCAGAAGGCTTCATCAGTCAAGGAAACGCCCAATAAAACTGATTCTTCCCCCAACAGCTTACTCCAGTGTGGAACAAACCAGTTCTGCTTGTGATAAGATGGTCTCTTTGGTACGCCCCCTCCTTCATTGCCGGCCCTCTTCCTTGTTGACAGTCTTGTCAAACTGGTTGAAAACAACAAATCCGGATCGAAGGCGAAACGTTTCAGCACAAAAAAAAGAAACTATCCAGATGACCTGACTGAAAAATGTTGGACTCCATAGAAGAGAAATGGTTTATTTTAAGAACACTTTACTCAACAGGTGGCAAAAGACGAAGATTTATTTATTAAGAGGAATAGTAATAACGCTGGGAGAAATATAAAGGACTCACCTTAACTGATGCTCCCTGAGGTGAGAGAGGACATCCATGTGATAGAGGTGGCAGTAGATGAATTGCAGGTCCTAGAAACAACAAACATAATTTCATTTTTTTTTTATTATTAAATAAATAAAAAAACGTTCACAAAAAAGGATTAAATTAATTCCAACACACAACCATAACATTCACCCTTAATCTAAATGCTTTCAAAAGGTTTGCTGTTCAGTTAAAGTGAGAGGAATGTCTCTGCACGGTGTAAATCATTCTGCAACCTGACAGCAGCCACTTAGCCCGTGTCAAACACTGACTATCAAGTTGACACCCTCAAAGCAGACGGACGGGCATATCACTTATGTACCCAAGACAGCAAAGAGACACAGACGAACACACACCCACAGCTTTAAAATAGCACGCTATCAGAGCCAGCTGTCAAAACATTTAGTGCACAGCAGATTGCATATGAAGGGAACAGCTTTAAAAGCATGTTTACCATTAAACAGGCTGCTGGGCCTGCAGGGCATCTATTAACAGGTGGACTGCACTAGAAACACACGATCAAAGCCTGAAACCTCTTTAAAGAAATAGATGTGTTACAGAAAGATACATACTTTTTGTTTACTATACTGTGTAATATTTAAGTTCCATTTGTGCACGTTGTCATCACATTATTTACACCAAAGACCGGTGTGTGAACTGTCTGCGCAACCGATGATGCAAATGTGGCACTGTGCACAAATCCAATATGGCTGCTGCTAAAATAGCTATAAAATATATTCAAGTTGTTTTGACGACAAAAAAAAAAAAAAAATCCAGTTGCTAGCTTGGCTTTTTCAATGCAAACTCGTTGCTTCTCCAGGCGGCGAGTGTTTTAACAGCTAATGCACACTTTAAGATGTGGGTGCGCTTTTTTTCCCCACTCATCTATGAAAAGGTGCGTTTGCATCTACGATAAATGCAGATTTTTCAAACAGTGTGCTGAACCTAACTTTTCCCAACAGTGTATTTATTTAAGGTAAAACTGAAGCAGAGCAGCAGCTAATTACACAAGCATGACCATTTCTCATTACTAACATAAGAAAATCTCAGACAAAATTTTCATGTAGTATATCATTTTTTTCACATGTTCCGATCGATCGGCCACCGAACATGATCGGCTGATTTCCGTTAAAGCGTATGTGATCGGCCGATACCGATCAATGCCTTTCAGTGTCGATCACAACAACTGATCACCGTTGCAGCCTGCAGAGGTCTGGTGGTAAATATATTTAAGCAATGTTGTGATTTATTTGACTTTCTGCACTATTTTGTCTGTTCAGAGCCTTAATGTTTTCAATCTGTTAAAGAGTCCATTACTGTTAGCAGTAAATTTAAACATTTTTCAGTTGCCTTTTCATTGAATAGTTGCTGTATTGTGCCTGCAAGTTTTTTTTGTCTTGAAAAAGTAAATAAAAACATGTTTTTGTCCAAATTAAGATGATTTTATGGTTCCTAATTCCCAGACCACGTAACAAGTAGCACTCTTCTTAACTACTGGGAAATCAAAACATTTACAGCCAGTCCATGTGATTGGGATCAGCAGCAAAAAACATGATCCTTAATTTTTAATAATACAAATTCAGGTATTTATTAACCTGAATTTGGTTAATTCCAGTATTAATTAAAGCGCAATAACCATTTTAACTAAACCAAATGATAACATTTACCTATGGTATGTAAAGTGTTTTACTCTATGCACAAATTGTTGATATTTTTGATTGTATGAACGCGTTTTATTTTATGGCTGGAGAATTTCCACCTTGGTGGACAATAAAGTTTTATCTCATCTTATTTAGCTGGTAATTTATTGCAAAAGTCAAAAGCAAAAAATATCTTGTATCTGTGCTTTGAATTTGTGCATCTTTAATTAAACCCCTCAAGGAAGTACCATATACAGATATGCTTAAATTAATTGAGTAAAAAAAATTGCGTACCTAAACATTGAACGGTGGGTTATAGTGTTATGAGATTTGACATAAATACAGTTATTACAATGATTAAGAATTGACAAAGCAAACCTATAAAGCAGAAGAGAGATTTGTAAAGAAAGACATTTGGTTCTGAGAAAAATGTCCCTCCTTGCGTGTTCACTGGAAAACTAAGTTAATCAACAGGAAGTCCACAGAAGCAGAGTTCAACACTTAGGAATGGAGAGCTTTTGATGCAATAGACCAACACACCCTTGATGTATCGCTTGCCAAGTCTGACACAGGAAGAAGGGTTGGGTGGGAGAGCAGGAGGTGAGGAAAGGTAAGCAAAGGAAGAGATGAGTGGGAGACAAAGGCCAGGAGGGAGTGATAGTGAGCAGTCCAAAAAAAGACACATAAGAGTAAGATGGGTAAAATCGTGTTACTGTAGTTCAATTTATTTTCTATTTAACAACTCAAAGGCTGGAAATGTGTTAATTTCTTAATTAATCCTGAAGGCCAGAGTTTTATACTGTTGACAACATTACAGGAAGAGTCGAAAGCTCCATTTACTGATCCTGAGACCAAGTGAAAAGAAAGAATGTAAAATCTGGTTGGAGGCAGTGAGAAAGTGAAAGCGTATCGACTTCAAATCACTGTAACCGGGTTAGCGAGCACAACAAAGCGCTGCAGTAAGCACTCCTGTCATTGCTGCTGAGCGTGCATGTAGTGCAAACGGTGCGTGCGACATACAGCCCCGAGGCTCTAGCTGGTATTAGGAGTATATGAAGCCAGACGGCCTTAAACACCACCTGACTGCTGCTTGTTAGTGAGTTCCGGGGTTATTTTAAACATCTTGTCTGATCCAAGCAAACACAACAACAATCAGTGGACCCATACACACTTATCTACCTATAGAGCAGGTTGGTGAGCTGCTGTGCAGACATATACATCTACAAACGTTAGCCAAAAGTCATAACACAGACAGAACAAACTAAGGCCCATTTAAACATCATAAATCTAAAACACATGCCAACTACGCCCATGGACTATCAAAAATATATTTAAAAAACAGCCTTTTAGGAATGCTTCTTGAAACCAGTTAAATCAGTCAATTATCACCTGTTACAACAGATAATGTGGATAATTTAGACTTAAATAAGCTTGAACTTTTCTTGGGCCTGTTGCGCTGTCTGACACAAACTAAGAATGAATATTTTTAAAAAAATAGAGAGAAAAGGTGAAAAATGACTCTTATTGTGCATTTTTTTAACTAAAGTTGACATCAAAACCTACGTATGTGCAGTACACGTGACAGACTAAAGACAACATTATCGTGTTTTAAGCAAACATGCAAAATCTGTCATAATCAGAGGTTAAAAAAGGCCTGAATGAGTTTAACATAGCTACCAGACTGCTTTTAAAGAGCAGTAACCATCTACGCAAATAAACTTTTGCTGTGTGCTCACATAAAAGCAAAGCAAAACAAGATTTTCTTCAGTTGAGTTTTTTAAAACGTTATTTCTTGTATGACAGAGGCAAGTAACAAAAGGTACCAGAGTTAAAATGCCACTAAATCTAGCTTACATCTTAGAACACTGTATAAAGTGAAAACATGTGCAAAGATTACTACAACTGGGCTCATCGACAACACGAACTGCCCCAGTTTCATATATTGATCACTGTAAAACAGGTCATCAATGGGCCCAGACAGAAATATAGCAGGATATCTGATGATGGGATATCTGTTCTTCTGTGGTTTGAGGGGATGGTAACTGTATCACTGCACAGCTCGTCATCAGTACACACATGCACAGCACATTGTGGATGCTGTTGACACAACAGTGGAAATCCCAATACTTATTGAAACAGAGCTAGGAAATAAACAGACTGGGTTAAAAAAAAAAAAACATTAAAATTCAAATATATTGTGGCTGAAATGTGCTGAGAAATAAATTTCAGAGTTGTTGTTTTTTTTCTTTCCAGACAGTAATTTCGATACCATGCCACAAAGTCTTTAGTTAAAACAAAAACATCACTGCATTCACAAATGGATAAATCACAGTAAGACTAAACTGCACGGTCTAAGTATCAATGCCTCGTTTATTAGCACGGGGACGTCGTGCCTGCCCTGCGGGTGAGTTTTTCTGTCCTTCCTCTGGAGAGCAGAACAGTGTTGCTCACTGACTTCTGACCTCTGGTCCTCCTCAGAGACCAATGAAGTGGCCTTACAACCTCATCTGTGGTTAGAAAACATCCCAACCTCAGCAGAGACATGCATAGACCCGTCACGATAACTAATTTTGCTGGGCGATTAATTGTCTCAGAAATTATTGTGATAAACTATAGAATTGTTTGAAACTTTACAATAATTAGTAGTTATTGTCAAATTTAGGAAGAAATGTTTAATTTGTTTTGCATGTAGTAGCTTTTTTTGAGCACCGGATGGCAGTATAAGACAGTTTGAACTGAAGGATGGATAGAGAGGGAGCGAGCAGCGTGTCTCTAAGGAAAAAATGGGAGGGAGGCCCCTTGACATGACATGGGCTGTCTCTCTTAGGGTCTCAAAATGGCGGACACTCAGTGTGGTTTGAGTTATTTAGCATAGCATTTTTCACACAAAGTTCTTAATTAAAAAAAGAAGAAAAAAATCAGTAAACAAGTTTTCGGCTTCTTTTTGCAGGAAAAACTTTTTATACGAAGGCACGGGTTTCAACCGTGAATTTTGGAGCTTTGACAAGATGGAGGGTTTTTTCCCCGTTGTCGACCTGTTAGCTTAGCTCGTAGCTTAGCTTCTGAGCTTAGCTGCTTTTAACTGTCCAAAACCGCAAATTTGGACAGTTAAAATGGATTTTAAAGAGAAAAGAGAAAGGGAGGGGTCAGTGAAGAGCATCAGAGTTGAGCCTTTTGTCATCCAGTGTCTTCAGTAGAAAAAGAGAGACATAAAGAAATGATAAAGCCGATAAATGAAAATGAGGTCGATAGTTTATTTATCATGCAATTAATTGATTTATTGTTTTATTGCAACAGGCCTAGACATGCATCAACTCATCAACAGCTGAGACTGGATATTTCAATTAAGAAGATTTTG